AAAGTGTGTAAAACCACACTGAAATTCCTGGAGCGATCCTGAATGAGAACCGTGGGAGTTCTTGAATGTGGCCTTTCTACTAACTGTCTTAGAATAAAAACTCAAAGAGAAACCATTTTGGATTAATTCTTCCCCATCCCAAGAGAACTCCACATTCATACCAAAATGCAGTTGTTTGCATATTCAGGTTTGCATATTCAGATAGTCTCAGATGTAAGAGATAAAAATACAAATTTAGCTTTTAAAAAATTTACTATTAAATAGTAATAGAGTTAGGTCCTCCAGTAAACGCTAAGGGAATAGAAGCAAAGATGGCTAATCTCAGGGAACCCAGGGGCGGTAGGCACTGCCCTTTAGGTTCAGATTCTAGTTCTAAATGCCACAGGCGAGCTTGGTGTGTTTGGGGCTTGCTGTACAGGAGATATGTAGCACATTTTGGACTTGGGGAGCAATGAGCTTGATTCTGCAGGGTAGACTAACTCTGTCTGGGAAAAGCAGGCAGTCTTTTGAAAAGATTAATGATTTGATCTATATTGAAGAAAAAATTAGTTTCCAGATCAGTAAGAAATAGGGAAATGGGAAACCCTGGTGGATTTTAAGCAATGAAAGAATCTGATATGAATGTGAGCCAGGAATCTAGCGTAGGCTAGAAAGGCTTGAGCCACTGGTCTGTACCCACATCCGCCCAATCTTTGTTTTGGCCTATACTGTGTCCTTTCTTTGAATCTCCATAATTTACAAGCCGGTCTTTACGGGGAAAAATTATGGAAATTATTCTAATATGATATTTTCTTGTTTTTATTTTTCTTCATCACCTGTCACCTCTAAATTAAGTAGGCAATTCCATGAAAGCAGGGACCTAGTCTAGTCTGCCACTTGCTATCTCTCACTAAACAGGTTGATGCCCTATACCCTACTAGAGTTTATAAACATTTGTAAAAGCTTCAATAACGAAATTGTCATGACACTGAACAGACAATACTTGCACTGCTCTGTTATTACACAGGTCATAGCTCTTTCTAAAAAGTAGGTGCATTGCTCAGAAATTGCACTGTGGTTTAAGAAAATGCTTTCTTCCTTGTCGTTTTTCTCCCATTCTCCTAACAAAACCTTGTGATATGTGTGAAACATTCCAGGTACTCAAGGAAGGCTAAAGTAGGACACATCTAAATAGGAGCCAGAAATATTTTAGTTCGGCTCTTCATAGCTTTGATCTCTGGTTTTAGGAAAAATAAAGAATTCATTTCAATCTTGAATTAATAAGGCATGAAATAACCAACTTTTTAATGCCAGGTCCAGAGCACTTTTTGCCTCTCCTACATAAACACAGATTTAATTCAAGAACCAAGCTGCTCTACAGACCCATTTGAAAACATCACCAATAGTCAAAGCCATCATAGGTAGCTTTGAAAATCCACCCTTCATTACACTAGCTCCCTAATGTTAATGATTATAGCAGAGATGAAAAGATGCTGGTCCATGATCCCTGTTGACTATAATTAGAGGATGCCTTGGACAGCCTATTCTCAGAGAAGCAGAGCACTTTGTAGGGCAAAGAGTTGAAGGCAACGTGGGCATTTTTTGCTCCAAGGACTTGTTGGGGGCTAGAGAGGATGACAGAGAATCCTAGTTAATGGGACAACAGAAGAGAGGAAAATGCCAGGGATCCCTTGGCTCATCAGACAATTCAGAGAAACTGAAAATTACAGAAGTATTTTGGCTCAGGAGCTGGAGGAGAGCTGCCAAGTCGTGGAGACATTCTCCAGATATCCTGTGAATGTTGGGCAGTCATCGGGGCCATGGCTGACCTTTCTCAGGCACAATTCCTATCATCACCAAATTGAAAGGGGGAAGAACAACACACTTGGCTAGCAAACATGGAGGCCCTTTATTCTACAAATGGAGAATAGATACAGATAAAAGATAAAAGAAGATGAGCACTACTTTCACAGAGGCCATGTGCTTGCTAGCAATCTGGCCTAAAGCAATTTATTGTTAATTATTCATGCAGATAGAGAAAAGACCAGCCAAAAATTTAGATCTTTGCTGAACATGTTCAAAATATAAATCTAAAGAAATGAAACAGGTTGATTATTGCTTGGCTTTTTCCTGTTTATATTTGTACATACAGCATTATAAAACACAAAGATACAGGGATATAGCAGTATTATAAATATTTGGAGGATATTCTACGGCAGTAGAAATCAATATGGAACATTCATCAGCAAGAAAAAAAAATTAGACAGCAGAGGAAAACTTATTTGCCAATGCAGGATATGCTCAATTATTAGTTTCATTTGTGATATTTCATAGCTTGGTTCAGAAAACTTAGTGCAAGTGAATGCATTTCTTTTTTCCCTTCTTCAGGAGTGTGTCACTGTAAATGCATAGCCACAATCTTGATGTTTCATCTACTGCATGAACAAATCTAGGCTGTTCTTTGTAGCAAAGCACATAGACAGTATGGTTAGACAGAAGCCACACACACCAGCCACCAAAATATCCTCATTTCTATCTGGTTAGGGATGGAGAGTTTTGTTTTGTTTTTTTTTTTTTTAAGATTTTATTTATTTATACGAGAGAGAGAGAGATAGAGAAAGAGAGGCAGAGACACAGGCAGAGGGGGAAGCAGGCTCCATGCAGGGAGCCTGTTTTGTGTCTGATTTAAGAACTTTGTACATTCAAAAAAGAAAGAACTTTGTGTATCCTTAAATACATAAATGTATAGCAGGAATTTTTTTTTCAAGAATTTATAAAAACTTCAAGATACTTAGTATATTTTCTTAAATATCACCAAACTGGAGCTAGTACCCATGGAGTATGGGCATCTATGTCTATGTGGCATCTACAGCTGAGGGAAAAGGACCCCAGTCTTTTCTTGCTTTCTTTGGCTCTCACCCAAATCTAACATTTCAACTCTCCATAAAGTCACCTGAGTGAACTTTCTAACCCACTTTGATCACATTCCACTTTTCAGCTGCTGCTCAAACTTTCAGAATAAAGAACATGTTCCTTAGTGTAATTTCAAGACCCTTCAGAATCCAACCCAGGCCCATTTTGCTGCCGTATTTTGTGCCAGGACCTCAGGTAGTCTGTGACTCCTCTATCCATCCTAGCGTCCAACCACTTAACAATCTGTTTGAGGATTGGACACGTGTAGGCCAAGTTCTAGGTGCTAAGGATACATGCAGGGGGTTCATAACAGATATGTTTTCAGACAGTCACAAGTAAAGAGGTGCTACAATGGTAGAGGTCATGTAGGACACTGCAGAAGCAATAGAAAGGGCTTCTAATGCAAACTGGGCTGGGGTTGAATGGTCACATATAGCTTCCAAGGAAAATTAGTATCTAAGCAGAGACCTAAAGAACAGACAGGAGTCAGTCGGGCCAATGGTGTAGTGACTGGAACTCCAGGAGAGAAAAGAGTTCTCCCAACATGCTATAAATGCAAACATTTTCAAAGAACTGTAAGAATTTCAGAATCATAATGCAGGGCTATTATGCAGAATGAATTATTTACTGTTACCCCAATGTGCCCTTCACTCTTCTATTCCCATCCTTTGAGTTGAGAGTATAAGATGGTCTTCTCATCAGCTGCCTGATGAACTTTATTACTTTACCTCCTCTCTGATGTATCCTCCAAACACACCCTCACCATCCAAAAGAAACATCCACAGTGTTTCCTTTGTGCCCTGGGGTATCTATTCCATACTGCACTTAAACAGTTTCTGATGTTACACAGTCATTGGCTATTTTTGACACCTCTCAGCTCTGCATGCTTTGTAGGTAAGGATTTTGTCCTTATCTTATTTTTTTCTACTCTTAGAGCAAGATACACAGTGAATACTCAAAATTTTAAGTAAAAAGGAGTGGAAATAGTTAAAACCTTCTATTTTATTTCTGCAACCCATCTGCAAATGCATTGGTCTGTGTTGTAAGATAAGCGATCTTCTCAGGACACATACTGGGGAATGAAATGAATTCAAAGACTCCCAAGGAACACATGGGTGACTCATGGGATCTTTATCTCCCCCAGATAACATAGAAAGGCAACAGTGACAGAACCACAACCTCGCATGTTTAAAAAGGTCTCCATAGACCATGCAGACTTCTGGGGAGAATAACTAATTATATTGGAGTGGAGACAGAATGGAAAGAAATGCAATATTAGATCCCCTTTTGAGTGAGAGGAAAGAGGCTTTTTTAATGTGCAAAGCAAGCATGTTTTAGGGAATCTGGAGACCTGGCCCATCAGAAAAGAAAGACAAAGTAGGATACCAGCGGAGGAGTTCCTTTTCTTTACAGTATCTTCTTTTAGAAATAACTTTTCTTTTCAAAATAAAAGAGAACGTAAATTGTAATCAGCAACTTTTGTTAGATCAGAAGCATGCCAATAAACGCCCTCTCCTCCTTCTTCCTCTTAAAGTATCTTCGTAGCAGCAAGGAAGGCAAAGGAAAAGAAAGGGGGCAGTAATTTAGGAAGGCAAGAGACAGAGAAAGAGAGCAAGAACAAAAGAGGTTAGCAAAGGCAAAGCGATGTTGGTGCCTGGGAGAAGTGGTGTGCTGTGCCATCGTGGGGGCTGGAAGAAACCCCACAAGGTAATGAGGGAAAGTATCTCTGTAGTTATCCTGCTGTAGAAGTAATGGATAAATTGCAAAGGGAAAATACTCTCTCAGAAAACACAGTTCACTTAAGCACACTTGGATCGTGTTACTATTTCACTTATTAATGATAATGCTCTTCTTGCAGAGAGCTCTGGTACCATAATAAAAAAAATATGCTAATTATTATGAAAATACATGATCTCTTCAAAAGAGGAATATCAACTAAGAGAAGAGGGCAGGTATATGGCCTAATTTGCATTTCACGGCTACATGTTTGAAATGATACTGCAGAAATTATGTAAAAACACTGAGCCCTCACTGGGACACATGATTTAGTCATCCGACATGGCACAAACCACTCCCTTAGCCTATTTTACAACGGATAAAACCCATACCTTCCACAGTTGCTCGCTTGGGCTGAATGGTAATGGCTCCTTCTGCAATGTCTTCATGCTGGTGCAGTGGGTTGATTTTGGATCCCCAGCTGTCTGAGCCGACCCAAAGAAAATGGCCCACTTGGTCAGCTCTTTTGGCTGCTGCAAGGATCTGCCTGTGAAAAAGAACATGAAAAGTTATATTAGTGATAAGGAGCAGCTGCTGAACATATATATTAGGAATGAAGCAGAAGGAAAGCAAGCTACCAGTTCTCAAAAAGTAAGTTATCAATGCCAAAAAAAAAGTATGTCAAAGGATTTATATCCTGCATATATAAAGAGATTTTATAAATCACTAAGAAAAATTATCAAAGCAGCTTGAGGAAAATAGGCAAGAAACATTAAAAGTCAAAAGAGAAAAGGAGAAATATAAATAACCAGTAAATTAGAGATGCATATTCATACAGACTAAAAGGATTGAAAATGTCAATTAGGGGAAGATATCACATTTGCTTCTCATGTTGGCCAAAAGATTTGTTTTGTGAGTTTGGGTGTGCGGCTGGAAAAATGAGTGCTCACATTCACTGCTGGTGGTATGTATAATTCCTGGGAAGCAATATGTCAATCTAAATTACGTGTCTTAAGTTATTTATTAAAATGAACAAGTATGTTATACTTGAAAATTTTATAGCCTATGCTCATAAATAAAAATAGCATATAAATAACGAGGGTAACAAGGCAAATAAAACAAAAGGAAAACTAATTATTCATAGTAAAGTTATTAAGTATATTTTTGAAAGAAGAAGTAGACAAGAGGTAACTGCATTTGTAGAAGAGAGAAAGCTACAACTATAACTCCTTTGGTGGGTTATACCATAGGAAAAGTGATTTGTTTGTTTCTCAAGACTTGGAGGTACCAAGTATCACATAGGTACTTGGACAAATAAAGGAGAAGTGGTTGAAAGGTTGTATATAAAATCACAAAAACTCAGGTTTCTTTCTTTTTCTTTCAGGCAGAAAATGGAATGGTAATTTTCTAATAAAATTTTAAGGACTAGGTTCTGCATATCATAAACATCCAAATAAGAGAAAGTTATGAGTGAGGAATGGTGAGTTAAAAATGAGGGAGAGGAAGATAAGCTAAATTTACCAATAAGTATTGAAATGGTAATGCCCTCTAGGAAACTTACACTTCTGCTTACAGAATGCTAGAAACTAAGGGAGTGTCACCCTAGGCAGAAAATAGCTTTCCTGGAAAAATCTGGACCACCTTAGGAAAATAATTCTATATACCTACATAGAGAGACCCTCTAATGGAATGGCAACTTGGATATCTGGCAAGTCCACCAAGAGCCTGAAGTCTGAAGGGATGGGACACCACTGCTTGCATCAAAGTTTTTCAGTCATACTTTAATTTTTTAACATGTGCATTTATTATTTTAATAAAAATAAACAATCAATTACTTATACTTTTGGCCTAGAGATACTATTTCTAATCATCTGTGCAAAGGAAATGATCAAATACACTGCCAAAAACATACATTCATGACTTCAGATAACCTATATGCAGAACAATAGGGAACTGTCTGAACAAATGACAGTGCATCTAGAGGATGGATTAGAAAGCAATTCAGAATATACTTAGATTTCCACAAGCACTTGTTAAAAGAAAAATCAATTAAAAGAACTGCAAAAGACTATTCAACTCATATATGAGAAAAGTTGGCTAAACATTGCTTGGGCATGTGTATATACACACAGTTAGAAGTATAGGGCCATCTGAAAGCACAGCAAGATAAGGATAATACACCATGTATTGTTAACCTAATAATTCATTGAGAAGATACTACTGAGGTTGAAAAAGTTGCAAAGGTGGGCAGAAGCCAAGTAAAACAAGGGGAAAAAGACAAAACTACATAAATGCAAAAAGTAGATGTTCCCTTTAATTTAAATGTAAACGTGTAGGCTTATTAACTATGATAAACAAGAGTAAACCATTAAAAAAAAAAACTTATGGCATCCAAAGTGACATGTGAATTACAAAAAGCAGGAGATAAAAACCAGGAGATTCTTTTGAGGAAAACCTATGTACGTTTGGAAAAAAGCGCTGGCAAAGATTAAACCAGAATTTTAGGCTACGTCTGAGTTTTGGAATTGCAAATTTTATAAGAAATTATTTAACCTTTTTTTTTCTAGACAAGTCTCTCAAACCTTTATTTTTTTCTAGATAATCAAGGGACAAAGAAAACTTAAGGACTTCCTTCAATAAAGAGTAACAACCACAAAAAACTTTTCCACCTTTTCCAGTGGACTTATATTAGTCATGTATTATTTTTATAATCAGAATAAAGTGTTCCAGAAAAAGGATCCACTCTTGTCTAAAATCCAAATTATTGATACCCATGACTTACTTTTCATTTATTTTAGCTTTAAAATCTAGGTATTACTGTTTTCTCATTGCCATTCTCTGACAAAGTATTTGAAGTTAATTTTCTAAGAAATCTCAAAATTTCCCATTTACAGTGTAAATCTTCTGAAAAAAGAAATAACATCATATTGTGAGTTAAGAGTACTCTTCAGATATCAGTGTATTTAAGATCATGTTTTGGAAGAAACTTCTATATGCACCTAAATTTTATTATTATGCTAAAGAACTACTCCTGCTATCACTGCTATGAATCACAGTATACAATAATATTCAGCACACAAACAAACCCCAAAGCAAAAAGAATGAGCCTAGTTATTGAGCAAACTGTATGCATTTTTACATCTCAAATTAAAACCTTACATTACCTACAAGCAGGAGTACTATAATGAATTAGTCACCATGGCTATTTGCAGTAATGCTGTATGTGACATGTACAATGTATTTAGAAATAAACTCAAAGCCACATTTTATCAATGTATTATGTATTTGGAAAATATGTATAAAAACATTTATGGGACAATTAGGAAAGATATCAACAAAGATGAATAAGAGATAAGCCAAAAAGAAAAAAAAACCACCAAGAGTAATAGTATTAAAACACAATTTTTAAATAACTACAACACAAAGTGTAGAAGAAACATGCCTTAAGAGCAATACTCAAGAATTTTTAAGGAGAAAAATAATACATTTAAGGGGTGACCAGAAAGTTTCATTAAGAAGGGCATGTTTGAGATAAACTTTGAAAAACAGATAATTTCAGCAAATAGAGAAGGAGAGAAAAAGACACTATGAATAAAGGCCATTAGGAGGAGCAACCAAGAGTGCTGGAGGACCAGAGCCATGCATTTTGCATATAGAAGGAGTAAGCAGAGGTGAGGTCTACATGTTAAATTAGGAACACACTTGAAAGCATTCTGAAGTCCAGACAGAGAAGCTTATTTTTTTATAGATTTTTATTTATTTATTCATGAGAGATACAGAGAGAGAGAGAGGCAGAGACACAGGCAGAGGGAGAAGCAGGCTCCATGCAAGGAGCCCCACGTGGGACTCAATCCAGGGTCTCCAGGATCACACCCTGGGCTGAAGGCAGCGCTAAACCGCTAAGCTACCAGGGCTGCCCCAGACAGAGAAGCTTATATTTGAATTATTAAATAGTGTGAATTGGCATAGTGATTTTAATCATTCATTTATTCGGCACTGTTCCTTGAGCATTTCTTCTATACAAAATACCGCAATAGGGATGGAGGATACAGAAGGAAGTCAAATGAGGCATCACCTCCGCCCCGGCGATGCTGATAGATTAGTGGAGAATGTGGACTAATCAAATCATCATGCAATGTATAATAACATCATTGACCTCAACTATGAAGAAGAATTTGCCAATGCTGCAGTGTTTAGAGATATCTTCCCTAAGAAGACCACACGAAAGATGGCATGGGAATGAAAAAGCAAGGAAGGAAAAGCATTTCAGGTGCATGAGAAGAACACACAAAGACCAGGGAGTGAGGAAACAAAACATAAAGGAGCAGAGAATGAAATAAGACTAGAAAGGAAGGACGAGGCTAGATAACCACAAAAAGAGCTCAAGAAGGATTTTCATTTTATTGATGGGAGGACCAAGGCCTTGGAGTTGGGAAGCAGAAAGGGGGCAAAAGTGGGGCAACTTCCCAAGGTGACACAATAGTCATTAGGGAAACACTTCAGGTATCTCAATGTCAGGTTTCATATGCTTTCTGTTTAATAGTCCTGCCACCGTGGTCAGAGTTTACTATTGGGAAAATGATGGATGGACTCAGAGGCAGCATTCAGAGTGCAGGTGGAGGGGAGAGACAAAACTGGGAGGCTCATGATGATGACAGCACAGTATTCCAAGCAGGGTGTAATAATGGCCCAGGCCCTTAAACTTTTTCTTAATAAAGGAGACTCACCTTCAAATTAAGTGATATATTTTATCTAAGACAAGGACTAAAAAACCCCATACAGCTCCTTCAAATCAATGGAGATGTTAACAAGCACAATCTATTTGGAAAACAATAATCATATTGGGACATATCTCGTCCTGGAAACTTCTTTTCCAGGAATTTATGTTAAAGACACTTGAAAGGTAAATTCATAAAATAATATAATTGCATATTATTATATATTTGTGCTATATTAATATGTATCCGCCTGTTGCATAATATGTTTATATTAATATTTATATTTCTATATATTTGTGTGCACAGATTTGTGGAAAAGGAAGTTTATTGTAGTGTTATTTATAACTGCAAAAGTGTGTAATCAGATGTCAATCAATAAGGGAGCATTTAGATAAATGACAGCACAGATATAAAATTCTGCACAGTTATTAAGAAGACTGAAGAGATAGGTACTGACATTCATAGACATCCATGATAAAATGATAAGCAAAGGCTAGCAGGGAATGGAACAAGCTGTACACACAGTATGCCACCATTGTATAAAAGTATGCAGACTGTCTCTAGAAGAGTATATAAGAAACTGGTCATTAGCCATTGCATCTGAAGAGGAGAACTTGTTAGCTAAGGGCAGGATGAATGGAACTTTTTTTCATAAACCTAGATATTTTAAATAGTTTTTTTAAAGCAGGTATAATTACCATATATTCTAAATAAATAATTATTCTGGAGCAAAGTGGTAGTGGTCAGAGAAGAAATCAGGACACATTTGTGTCTTAGAAACTCATTTTGGGCATATTATGTTCTAGAAACAAAGGTTAACTCTATATGGTTTGGCCAAGAATGCAAGGAATGAGGAAAAATAAGAAGTTAAGATTCCGACTGGATTTTTTACTCCAAGGAGGATCAAGGTAAGACAGGAGAAGAAGAAATGGATTAGAGGCATATTGGTAGACAAGCTTGGTTTGGAATATACTGAGTCTAAAGTGCTAGCGATACAGCCAGAATTGTATGATTTTTTTTTTTTCGTTTACATTAGGAGGAACCATTCTTTGGATAAAAGTCTGTTACACTTGGGTATATTTTTAATAAAAGAACCTTTAAAAGGTCTAGTGGTTTTCTCTTTTTACAAGTAATTGAATACATTTATTTTGCTAATAGAAGGGGAAGACATGACAGCAACACAGCGCTGCTTCCATGGTTCGCTATAACTAGTCATGTAGAGGAGAAAGCATGTACAGACTTTGCCACTAGGTAATTATAGATCTGCTTCTGTGCTATCTTTTCCCCTCTCTGCAGGTATCCTGATCTTTCTGGTCTCCTAGAGTTGCAGCATGCATATTAATGAATTTTACCAGTTATCCTTACTTTATATCCTCATCGTTGGCAAAAATCACGACGGCCCTCGAGTTCGGGGTGTCCAGGAGCTGTTTGATAATTCTATCAAAGTCAATGGTTCTGTCTTTGCGCTCTTGGGGGATTCTCACAGACTGCGCAATGCAGAGCCCACCTGTTTAAGAAAGAAAGAAGAGTGTCAATAAAGTTCCCTCAGAGATACCAAAGGAACCAGGGTGAGTAGCTAGAGAGGATGGAATTTTGAATTCTGAGTGCACAGCATTTCCTTGGTGATATCCCTGAATGAGAAAGGCTTAAGACATTATGCTAAGTCCTAAGCTGTTGTTCATACTTGGTGCATCTTCCATGACGTTGCACAACCTGATTTTCTTAGCACTGCACTTGTAAATGGCTAATGATGCCCAGAACACCAATGATACTGATCCTGGGGAGGTAGACTTAGGTTGGCAAATTGGGTGGGATAAGGTCTTTAAAATGAATGCAACCAATAATAATATAATAATAATAAGAAGAAAACTGCAATCAATAATCTACAGTAAAACATATTAAAACACATAAAGCTCAGGTTAATTTCTGTGCCTTTTCTGGTGTTTGTATTCCCAGGACTCTTTTCAACTTCATATCCATCCCAACTTTTAAAGGTCAGAACCAATGGAATAAATCTGAAAACAAAACAACAGCAAGAACACCAACTACTGTAAATCACAGCAATAACCTCATACTCGTGCCCAATTCTCAAATATGTTTTATGTATGTTATCCCATCTTAAAAACTTTAAAACATAGTTAGTAATACACATTTTTTTTTGCTAGAAGGGATGGGGATTAAATAGAAAAAATAGATTTGTGACTCCAGACTTGTCAGAGCTGTGATGATATTAATTCTCATTATGCATTTCAAGACAGGAAAATATGCAGCAGTTTACTAAGCAACTGATACACTCCTCACTATCCTACCTCTTGCTTCATAGTAGCCTCTGGATCTGGTATTTTATATAACACACTTTAAGAAAGGCTGGTATAGGTGAAAGGGGTAGAGAGAACATTTATAGGAAAGGCAACAAAGGCCATCCAATGGGCAGAAGACATAGAGGCCAAGAAAAAAGGATAAGCTTGTTCTTGTAATGTGTTTGGGAAAGAGCTATTATCAAGCTTATACCTTGAGCCTGGACAATTGGGTGAAGGGTACAAGGCTTCCACAAACAGAAAAATATCAACTTTATTCCAAAGTTGAGCTCCATTACACTTTTATCCCAACCAGTGTAACCTCTCTATAAGTGGCTCTTAATTTTCAGTGTACATAAAATCACTGATGATCCTTTTTCAAAATGTAGAGTTTCAATCACATTATCACCAACTTGACCTAATTGACATTTATAGAACAATCCACAGGACAATAGAACAGTACACATTCTCTTCAAGTGTAAATGGAACATTCACTAAGGCAGTTCATATTCTTGGCCATTAAAAAATAACAAATTTAAGTGCATAGAAACTGTACAAAGTACATTATCATGCCTAACAGAATCAAACTAGAAATCAATAACACTTAGAAATTTAAAAACATATTTCTAAATAACCCATGGGTCAAAGAGGAAGTGTCAAGGGAAATTCTAAAATACTTTAAACTAAATGAAAATGAAAGTGGAACACATCAAAATGTATAGATTATGACTAAAGTGATATTTATTATTTTTTTTAAAAGATTTTATTTATCCACGAGAGGCCAAGACATACGCAGAAGAAGAAGCAGACTTCCTGGGGGGAGCCTGATGCAGGACTTGATCCCAGGACCCCAGGATCAAGACCTGAGCCAAAGGCAGATGCTCAACCACTGAGCCACCCAGGCATCCTCTAAAGTGGTATTTGGCAGGAAATATGTAATCATCAAATACTTATGTTAGAAAGAGGGAATAGCCAAAATGGCAACCTAAGCCACTATTTAAGAAAGAAGGTAGAAAAGAGCTAACTAACCATCCTTGCAAAAAATCAGAGAGACATAATAAAAGAGCAAAATCAATGAACCTGAAATCAGAAAATACGAGAAAAAATCAATAATATCAAAATTTGCTTCTTTGAAAAGATTAGTAAAATTGATAAATCTCTAGGCAAAGCTGACCAAAAAGAAAGAAATCACAAATGATCATATCAGAATTAAGAGGGGCTAATCATACTGATGGACCCCACAGATAGCAAAAGGTAGTAAGGAAATATTATAAACAATTTTATGCCAATAAACTCAGCAACTTAAATGTAATGAGTGAATCCCTTGAAAGACACAAACTATCCAAACTGAGGGCAGAGTAGATAATCTGAATAGTTTTATATATCAAAGATATCAAATTCGTGTACACACACACACACACACACACACACACACACTTCCAAAAAAGAAAGATCGAGGTTTCACTGATAAATTCTACCAAACAGTTAAGGAAGAAATAAAATATGATCTATATATAATCTTTTACTGAAAATAGAAAAGGAGAGAAAGTAATTCATTTCATAAGGTTAATATTAACCTAATGCCCAAATCAGATGAAGATATTATTTTTAAAAAGACCAGTATCATTTATGAACATCTTTGCAAAACTCCTAAAAAATACTAACAAAATAAATCTAGCAATATATAAGAAATAGTAATACATAATAATCAAGTGGATTTCATGTAAGGAAAGCAAAGCTTATTTATTATTTGAAAATCAATCATTATAATTTATATATGATCAAATTAAACAAGAAAGTCATGTGATCATCTTTATACATGTGGAAAAAGGCACTAAACAAAATTCAATAAACATTCATGATAAACACTATAAACTAGGATTAGATAAGACCTTTCTAAGCCTAATAACAGGCATCTACAAAAAGCCTACAATAAGCATCACACTTAATAGTAAGAAATGACAAGGCGATTTTGTCCTCTCTTAAAACTCCAATTCAACATTGTACTGGACGTCCTTGTCAGAGGAATAAGGAGCAAAAGAAGAAAAGAAAAGAAACAAAAGGCCAACAGTTGGCAAAAGAAAAAAAAAAGTCTCTATTTGCAGATGATGTGATTGTCTATATAGACTATTCTAGAACTAAAAGGAGAGTTAACAAAACAAAAAAAAATAATAAAAGGAGAGTTAAGAAAAATTGTGGGATATAAACTCAAAACACAAAGGTCAATCATATATCTACAAGTCACAATGAACTGGAATTTTAAATTAAAATAATGCCAGCAATAATTTCACCAAAAATGTGGTCCTTATTTATAAATCTCACAAAATATGTATAGGAGCTATATTCTAAAAATTATAAAACATGGCTGAAAGAATTTTTTTAAATCATGTAAATACCCCCAAAAATAAATAAACTCTCCCCAATTTCATATAGAGATTCCATGCAATTTCAATCAAAATTTCAGAAAGCCTTTTGAAATCTGTATCACTAATTCTAATACTTGTACCAAAAGTCAAAATAACTAGACTAGTCAAAATAATTGAGTAAGAGAAACAACATTGGTGAACTTGAACTACCTAAATTCAAGACTTACTATCAACCCCAAACTGCAGTAGTCAAGACAGTGTGGGATTGGAAAAAGAATAGACACTTAGATCAATGGAACAGAAAAGAGGTCCAGAAATAGGCCAATACAAATATAGCCGACTGATTGTTGGCAAAGGTGCAAAGGCAATAAGCAGAGACAGGGTAGAGTTTTCAACAAACGATGCTGAAACAAATGGATATTTATACATAGAAATAACGAATCTTGACATATACCTCATACTGCATGTAAAAATTAACTTCAAATGGATCAATAGACCTAAGTCTAAAATAAGAAACTAAAAAACATTTAGATGGAGACAAAGGGAAATCTTACTGGCTTTAGGTTTTGCAAAGAGTTTTTGGATATAAGATCAAAAGCCTAAAACAAGAATGCCTGGGTGGCTCAGTGGTCTGCCTTGGGCTCAGGGCGTGATCCCAGGGTTCAGCGACGGAGTTCTACATCAGGGCTCCCTGCATGGAGCCTGCTTCTCCCTCTGTCTATGTCTCTGCCTGTCTCTCTATGTCTCGCATGAATAAATAAAAGTTTTTAAAAAAAAGCCCAAAACATAAAGAAAAAAATAATAAATCAAATTTTATGCAAATTAAAACTTTCGTTCTATGAAAGATACCATTAAGAAAATAAAAGCACAAGCCAAGGACTGGGGATAATCATATGTCTAATAGAAGACTTGTACCTACAATATATAAAGATTTGAAACTCAGCAATAAAAAAAGAAAAGAAATGGGCAAAACATCTGAATAGACAGAGAAAAACAGATGTCAAATAAGCACAGGAAAAAATGCTCAACATCAGTCATTAAGGAAATGTTAATTAAACCCACAAAGTTATATCACTACAATAGCTATTAAAACAGCTTTTCAAAAACAAGTAATATCAAAATCTAGAGAATATGTGGAGCATTAGGAATCCCTGCTCATTGCTGGGAGGAATGTAGAACAATACAGCCACTTTGGAAACCAGTCTGGCGTTCAAAGTTAAATATAAAGAAAACATAACAAGCAGCCAGTCAGTTCCAATCCTAGGTATTTATCCAGATGAACTGAAAGCTTGTGCTCACACAAATGTGCACACAAATGTTTAGAGCAACTTTATTCTTAATCACTAAAACTGGAAACAACTAAGACATCTGTCAACAGGTGAATAGATAAACAAACTGTACATGCATATAGCTGAATCCTACTCAGCAACAAAAAGGAACTGCTGATTTGTGGATGAGCATGAATAAATTTTAAAAGCATTTTGCTAAGTCAAAGAAGCCCAACCAAAAAGACTATATATTGTATAATTCTGTTCATACAACATTCTAGAGAAAGCAGGACTTCAGGGGTGGAAAATAGATCCATGGATGCTAGGGATTCAGAGGAGGGGTTGAGTACAAAAGGACTCCACAGGGAAATTTGGAAGTGATGGAAATGTTCTGTATGGTACTCTGGTAGTAGAAACATGACTCCACACGCTTGTCAAAACCTTAAGAACAACATGCCACCCTGGACTTACTGTAAGCAAAACTTAAAAAAAATCAACCAAATTGTCAGGGGATCCTAGAATATAATGCAGACTGTGACAAATGAATCTAACTGTATTACTAATGTATGAGTACAT